TTATATGAAGACTGAAGATCAAATTGCAGATATCTTCACAAAGCCACTCAAAGTTGATGTTTTTAACAATTTGAGGAATTTACTTGGAGTTACGAGGAAGACATGTTTAACGGGGGATGTTGAAAATTAAACATGTATTATTCTAGATACATTATGCATATACATTCCAAGGTACATGATACATGTACATGAACTAGTACATTCATGTATTTAGATAAGTTAATTGTGTGTTCATGTATGTATAGATTCATAGGATAAAGTTTATGGATCTAGATCTTTCCATGGAGTCCTATAAATAGGATGGTCATTTTCTGTATTTCAAGCAAGTGTGTGGAGAAGAAAAACAAGAGAGTTTGAGAGAGTTTGTGAACCAAGTGTGTATTTTGTGAGAAATTTTTCAATACAAGTAAAGTTGTTTATTCTCAAACGAGTCTTGTTGATTCTAAATTAGCAAGTGTCCGTCACACGCTTCCAACAGTAGTGGTGCACAAAAGTGAGTGTGGCGACTAGAGTGTGTTGGCGCACAAAATCAAAGACAGTTCTTTGGTAGAGCAGTACAGAGTTCGAGATCCCAGGTTGTAGTGCATCGTTGACAACTAAATCTCGTGACTACTGTGAGGTTTTTCATTCTTGTATTTCCTAGGTGTATACACCGTATTTGGTCCGGCTCACTTTCGTTTTTTTTTTAACTTTTTTACTAATTTAATTATTATTATTTTTTTATATTTTTTTTATGTTTATTGATTTAGTTAAAATAACATAATTTAGTTTATTATAAAATTTAATGTAAAGTTTTAATTGAATCAAATTAAGTTTTAAAATTAGATTTTATTTGAAAATAATTGGTTTTTTTTAAATTGATTTTAAGATAAAAAAAAACAGTTCTCCCCTTTGATTTTTTCCTTCATACGTGTATCCTCTCCCCTTCTTCTCCTCCCTCTTTTTCTCTCTTCTCTTCCCCTTTTTCTTTTTTATGGTTAGTTTTAGGTGTATTTAAGGATGGCTGCAGTGGGGAGGAAAGACGGACAGAACCCATACAGAGAAGAATTCACTTCCTTCTTTCTCTCTACCATCACCTTCTCTTCTTCTTCACCCAGGCCGGCAACCCCGACGATACACAAACTACACACGTCCCCCGATGATCACAAGTTCAGACCAACCTGCACCACAGTAGTCCAGCGCAAAGTTCTACAACCGACGCACGGATCACCGATCGCCTGAATCCGACCTCGAGTGCTCCTTCACGGTTTCAGACCCGCGGGCACACCCAGAATTTCCTCACTGCAGTACGTGGTATGGAAAATGGTTGTTTTAGAAATGATTTGATTTTTTTTTATTTGTTTTAAATAAGCTTGTTTTAAATTTGATATATATATTTTAAAATAAATTTGTTTAAATATGATTTGGTATATTTTAAAATAGATTTGTTTAAATATGATATAAATTTGTTTTAAATATGATTTGATTATTGTTAAAATAAGTTTGTTTTAAATGTTTTTTTTTTTGTTTTAAGGAAGTTTGTTAGAGGAATTTCAAATCTAAAATAAAATAATTTTTTTTATTTTATTATTATTATTATTATTATTTCTCGTTTTAGTTTTATTTTTTTTTAACATTTTTTTTTAAATAAAGATTTGTATGATAAGAATTAATATTAAGTTGTATCATATGGTGTTGGCATAGTGGTAGGTTACTTAGGAGTAATTCACATGTCTTAAGTTTGAGTCTTTGCTTGCCTAAATTAATATTTTTTTTATCATTATTTTACCAAACAACTATTTTAGATAAAATGTTTTTTTAATTTAAAACAAAACTTTCGTTTTTATAAGATTTCAAATCTTAAAACATTTATATAAAATATTAAGTAATATCTTAGGATGTTGGCACATTGGTAAGAAATTTGTATATGGACTCTCAAAATCCCAATGACAGAAATTGGATCTTTCTAATATTCTCGAGGTGATAATTTGTTTTTCTAATGGTCTTTGCGCCACTCATGCTTATCATAAAATATGAACCAATAAATTTGGGACATTTAAAAATCAAACAGAAAAATATTTTTATTTTTGGACTAAAGTATAATAGGATAATTGTTGACAAAATATGGTACCGTTTTCGAACGGGTGTCGTAGGGTGCTAACACCTTCCTTACACTCAGTCGACTCTCGAACCAAAATCTGTTTTTCGTAGACCAAGTTTTTAAAATAGGTGACCAATCACCCTCGTATATGATTGGTGGCGACTCCAAACCCGAATTTCAAAAGAGACCCGTCAGGGGATGACGTCGGCCGCTCTGCGTCGCGACTAACAAGAAGAACGTTGTCCTAAGACGATTGAACCTGATTTTAGACGAAATACGCGAGTGAAGAAGAACAAAATAGAATTCAAACTAGCGGTGCAAGGGTTTAGATACGTAATGACTAAATAACTCTAGTTCGTAAAAGGGGGAAAGTTTCAAATGATGTGGACCCATGTGCAACTTTGGAAAAATCAAATTGAAATCCTTGATAGCTCCGAAGTTGGGGACTATTGATTAAGATAAAATCTCTCCAAAGGCACGTCATCATTAGCTCACCTAATGGAACGACACGTGCAAGATTATACACACCCGACGAGTTCAGATAATGCTGAACTGCGCACCGAAAATGCGAGATTCGTTCCTCAACAGTTGAATTATTAACTGCACTACCGAATTCCTTCCTCAAAGCGTACAGTTTACCTCAAATTCGAGGATAACTGTATTTAAATTTGAATATCTTCACACCAACGGTTATCCAAGATTCCTATAAATAAGCGTAAGTGAATGGGTAAAGGTACCAGATTTGGGTGATTATAGAGCGTTAGACTTTTTTTTTTCCTCTCAAGCCGACATTGACAAAATTTCAGAGTGCTTACTCTTTTTTGTAGGTTCTTGTCTTAGAGTGTTCTCGAAAATATGAATAAGATATGAATCTTATTGATTTGCCAGAAAATAAATTAATATAAAATGAGAAAAATCAAGGTGCATGCAAGTGCAAAAGCTGACCTCAACATTTACGAATATTAAATAAAGAAAAAAAAAGTTAGAGAAGGTCAATTTGTTCATCTGTTTGTTCAAAAATTAAATTGAGAATAAGAAATGAAGATAACTATGTTTGTGACATTTTCTTTCTTTTATTATATCTCCTGCAAACTAAATAAATCCGTATAATATTTTGATCAAAAGTACTTTCAAATTGAAAAAAAGTGCACTACACGAATCCACACGGTTTTTTTTTTTTTGTATGCTTTATCCCATTAGATTACACAAGGCCAAGCGTACAATATACATTTGCTTTAATAAAATGTATTTAACTATGAGTTTGTTTTAATTATTATCCCAAAAATTAAATGATATCTCATATTAGTAAACGTAATATAATTTTGGGTAAAGAAGAATTAAAATATTTAATTTCGTCCATCCTTGTGATTTTGAGTAGATTTATCCAACAACTCTATTTGGATAACAATTTTGATAAATTGTATATGTACACCTATAGGTAAAATAAGTAGTTTAATTAGGGTCCATAAATTTTCAATTAGTGGACAGATACTAGTCCGTATAAATTTTCAATTAGTGGACAGATACTAGTCCGTGATATCCTAGGGAATTATGGAAAAATCCTATAATCAATCTACTTATGTTTTCAATACACTATGCTTCATTAACCTCATAAATTTCATCTTATAAATCTAAATAATTATCCGAAATAACCGTATTGATTTTAACCTATTTCCATGTTAATATCCTATAAAATAAAATTTATAAAGTTTGTTTTCTAACATGTTAATTAGAAGAGCATCAATAAAATTTTACACCCACATTTGAATGATACTGTTTTTGTCATATTTTTATTTAAACTATGTTAGATTTGCAACTATCTAATTCGTTACCCTGCGACTGAACCTAAAAATTTAATTAGCTATGTATATGCAGTATTAATATCACTCTGGGAAATAAATGATATTACAAGGGTTTAAGCTCGAACTATTTGTGCAAATCCAGGAGTGTAAAGAACCGACACGACCTGAAAACAAACTAAATCGAAAAGTTGCAGTAGAGGGTACTTCTTCATTTTGATCAACATTGGCTGGGGAAAATTTCAAAAGTTTGCTTTCACCTAGATTTTCTAAGACTCCTTCACTTGTCGAAGTCATTGGGGAATCTCCTGCAACATCAAAAGGCAAATTAATAAATAGAGAATTGCTAATATTAGGTAAAGCACTGAATTTTTACTGAGCAGATTTATCACTTTCAAGTTCTATATTAGATATCCAATAAATGAATTAAATTTATTCAATCCATCAACTTAAGTTTTTCGGTTGAGTGGTAGTTTATTCAGATAGTATCAGAGTCGAAAACGCTCAAACGAGCAACTAGTCCAAAAATGGGATCCGGGACAAGATCGATGAGCCAAAAAAACCACGATCTCACATTGAAAAGAAAAGGGATCTTACAATAGTCTATAATAAACATGAGCTACTTTTGTCATTGTCAATTGATTTTTAAATGAAATCTCATGCATATTAATATATTAATATTCATGGAAAAGAACCCATTACAATACAAAAGAAACTCAGTCTAATAATAGATCAAATAGTTATCAAAGGCCTTAAATTAAACTACAACTATAGCATCCATAAATAGAAAAATTGATTCTGAGAGAAAAGGGGAAAGGAGACACCGTGTTTTAATCTCTATTATTCGTGCAAGTTTTTTTAATTTAATCTTTATTATATTAATATTTTTCAATTTAGTCCTTCAATGTTAGAATTGACTCCTGATAAACTTATATAACTAAATTGGTGAAAATTTAAATGAATAAAAATGTCGTCTAATACACACAAAGTTTCTAACTTCTTCAAATTTATAAGAAATTTGTTGAATATTATTACTTGCACACAACATTGAGTTTACCTACACAACAAATAAAGGAGAGTAGAAATACAAACATATATGTACTAGCTTGTAGCATATGTGGTGATCACAAAAGTGATTTTAATCATATTCAGAATCACTTTCAAACATATCTTATTGTTTAACAATTATGCCCTAAGCTAGGTACATAGTACGAGATAGACGTGGCTCGACAGATAGGTACAATGGCTTGGGAAGGGAGAGTTCATTAGACTCAGAGAAGTCTATCTTTGTCATTCCTTGTGGTAAGCTCCATGAAAATGCTTGTAGCATTCGAGCAAATAGCATCATAGTAATAGTAGTGCCCAGTGAGCTACCTATGCAGCCTCTCCTCCCTCGAGTGAATGTAATGAATCTTAGATACGGTTCTGACAATCCCAATTCAACTGTCTTATCCTTTAGATGACGTTCGGGATCAAATCGCATTGGATCCTCCCAAATCCTCGGGTTTCGACCGAGCCCCGACCGACTTAGTAAGACTTCACTACCTTTTGGAATTAAGTAACCAGCTACAACAATGTCAGAGTTTGAGACATGAGGAACATTGAATGGTGAAAAGGGATGAAGTCGAAATGATTCTCTTGCACATGATGTGAGATACTTGAGTTTGGGGATATCAGATTCCTCAACAAGCCTCTCTCTTCCGATTTCTCTGTCCAATTCTTCGACTGCTTTCTTGAGAATCTTTGGCTGATTCATCAATTCTGCCATTGCCCATTCCACTGCATTTGAAGGATTATCTATTGTCGCAATTTGTAGCTCCTGCCATTATGATGGAAATTAAAGGGTTCACATCCTTATTAACAATATAAGTAATGTAACTTGTTCGAGCAATAGGTATAGTATCTACCAATAATTGTATATATGCATGCATGAATATTATATATTACCTACTATTGTTCTGACACGCGGACCCTTTCAAAAGTTTATAATAGATGTAGACTATTCGTCTCACTGTCAATTGATTTTGAGATGGAATAATGTACGAATATTGATATGATATCAGAGTCGGTTTATAATAGATATGGACTAGTCATCTCATTGTCAATTGATTTTGAGATGGAACCATGTACGAATATTGATATGATATCAGAGTCCAAAAAATTCGAAATAACATCTAATAGATATGGAATCCATGAGATGAAAATGACAAAATAATGTAGTATTTGAATAGTTACCATGATTTGAGTCTTGATCTCTTCGATGGACAACAACGATTTTCCGTTCTCGTCTTGAAGTGAGATGAGGATATCAAGAATGTCCACAACCTCTTTGTTGTTCCCATCTTTCCATCGTTTCACTCTCGCATTAATAATGTGTTCGTCATACTTTCTAATGACTTTCAAAGCATTTTTCACAATCTTCTGGTGTCCGTCCAAATCCAAGGTCCTTAGACAAGGCATATAATCTGATATCGAAAATGCATAAACATGGTTGAGTATTGTAAACAAAGCTTGAGTATGCTCTTCTTCTTCAAAAGTTGGCCCCCCATCTTCCCTTCCTCCACCGTAATACCTTGTATTGAATATCATCTGTCTAATAATGTTGCCACAAAAATGCTGCGTTATGCTCCTCACGTTCACAATGTTATTGTGAGTGGCAGTGAGGGTGAAAATGTAACGCACAAGAGTGTCAGCTTCGTGGATTATGTGGGCAGACATTGTACGAAGAGTGGAGGAATTGAGTATTTTGGAAACAAGTATTTTCTTCATCTTCTTCCATTGGTCTTCCGAGGGTGTGAAAATAGTGCCACGAAATCCACACGTCAAGATATTGTTGATCATAGGGACAGGGCGTGATGAAAAGGCAGCGTCGTGAGTTTTCAAGAATTCGAGGGCAAGTTCTGGAGAAGTCACTGGAATTATATTGGTACTTCCGAGACGGATGCAAGCAATTTCAGTGTCGAATTGTTTCATGATTGCATGCACCCATTTGTGTGGCTGTGTTGTGTGACTGCTCCACATTGCAATGGCTGGAAGGCAGCCAAGAAGAGGCCATGGCTTTGGGCCTGGTGGGAGTGGGACTGGCTCAGGCACAGCTGCTGCTGCTGAATGCTTCCTAATTTTCATCCTCAACATCACAGCAACAATGGAAGCCATGAAAACAAACAAAGTGCTCAAGGTTTTGGTTATGGAAATTGAAGATTTTTGATCAGCCAATTGACTCATAATGGATAAGAAAGCTTCCATGACTCTCCTCTCTCTCTTTTTCTCTCTCTCTCTTTATGAGTGTTTGATGAATGGATTCAAGATACAGGAAAGTGTGTGTATATATACTACTGGCACTTGAAAATGGACAAAACAATGTGGTCCATCTCCAAGCTAAGGCTAAAACTTAGTAAGGTTCTTTATTTTATTTTCCTTCTTATTCCTTCTTATGTTGAACAGAATATAATAAAATTATAAAAAAATGTCTTAACCAGAATTATTATTAACCATAGCGTTCTTCATTCACTTTCTATGTTTTTGGTCATTTAAAGTATGAACTTTCATATATTTCAACTCTTCATAGAACTTCAAGTTTATAATTCATAAACCTAATATAATATATGATTTATTCAAGCGTAGTACCTAAATACAATATTTACTTAAACTTAGAACTAAAAAAAATTGGAGCAATCAAAAGCTAAAGGACGGAGTAAAGCATGGGGATTAAAATTGATTCTACCCATCTAAAGATTAAAATATAAAATGGATAAAATGTAATGATCAAAACTACATTTTTAACAGAAAGAAATATGAATAAAGTTGAATGTAGTGATCATTTCGTTTATCATCCTCTTTTGACATAAAGATAAGTAAATAGATAAAACTATATTAGAGAGATATATCTGAAAAAATCATGTGTGCAAATTTGCATTATTTTTGAGCCGGTGGTTGAGCAATGAAATTGAAAATGAAAGCGCCTTTTTCTCTCAACTTTTTTGTCTACGTTTTTTAAGGGTATGACCCCATAATGACTTGGATACATTGTATTTGACGTTATATATATATATATTTTGCACATTTTTCCAATGGATAAATGAATAATTACCTACTGATTGGCAATTACCATTCTTTATAATGGTTGATTGAATCTTTCCCTTCATATTTTTATAACTTGTGCAAAAACAAAGTCTGAGCTTTCTTTCTTTTTATCAAACCAACAATCGATGGTTAAATCTCCACTCCTAACATTATTCAACCAAAAACAACTTTGAGTGTCACTTAGGAATGCAGAGAAGAGATAGTGTGAGGAGCTAAAACGACCATTGTGTATATCATCGTTATATCTAAAATGCTTTTTTCGACAACTGGAATGAATAGAATTAGTTTCACCAAATCAAAAAGCTCTTATATGGGTTTGAGAAATTATTTGATATGAGACATCAATTATGTTGAACATTAATATATAGTATTCCCCTAATTTGATATAACACGCTAACTAAATATTGATTTTCAGCTAGAGACATGTGAAGGTATACCCCTAATTTAACAAAAATAAAAAATTCGTTTGCCACATTTTTTTATATGGGAAGTCTAATTTATAGCAGTGATATGACCTACTTCTCTCAAACTTCTCTCATTGCTAGTTTGAGATGGAACCCATAAATATTGATATGGTATCAGAGCCTAAAAGTTCAAACGAGCAACTAAATGCAAGGTTTTTTTTAGCTACCAAGGAAAAGTATATTATTACCTGCAAAATAATTTGATTACAAAACTAGGAAAATAAAATGTATGTTCACTAATGGGTCGAATAAATTATTTCATAAAAATATGAAATTTCAACCAAAACTAATAGGATGATTATTGGCAAGGAGTAAAATCTATTTAAACCTCTCATGCTTCTAACCTCCGCTCTTTTTAGTACAACATGTATGGTGGATTTAGGATTTCTGTTCCGGAGCTTCATTTAAAATTGAGAGAAATTTAAATTGAGTAAAAATAAATTACAAGAAATTCCAAGAATCAGAAAAATTTTATATTATAGTTAAATTATTTCTGAACTTAATTTTAAAAGTTATCCCCAACCCTACCCTGTTGGCTTTGAAAAAAAAAAGTCTTAAAAATAGGATGTCAGAAAATCTTTTTTTTTTTTGGACAATTTTACCCAGCTCTTGAATTGATAATTTTAATAATATCATTAACATGTAATCTTTTGAACAAGTTAATGAATTAATGAATTATATAATTTATCTTTTATCTTCTCTACGTCAAAACGCATGATAATAAATTATTTCTGAACTTATTTCTTCTTTATATAATTTTAAAATACTATAGACCTGTAGTAGATAATGATAATTTTTACTTAATTCATTTTCTTTTTTATTAAAATGAATAATATTAAATTAAAAATGTTCTTGAAATCTTAATTAAAACTTTAAAATGAAAAAATTATTCTTGGTATTTTTTCATAAATTTTATTCCGCTGGTTAAGATGTTACTAAAATTTTTTATAAATAAAAGTTAAAAAATTTTAATCTCGTTTACCATATTTGTAATGTTATATTTTAAAAATATATATCCAGCGACTAAGGTGGTAATAGTTTTTTTATTTTTTTTTACCAAACCGAACATAGGTCAAGTGATTAAGGCACTTATCTCTGACCAAGAGAATATTGTATCAGAATTTCATAAAGTCACTCTCTCCAACCTTTTCTATCGAGACTTAGAAGTTGGACGAGAGAAAGTCAATATGATATTTGCGTTGGTTTTTCCAACGAAACGAAACGAAACACTTTTTTTGTTTTTATCATTTGGAAGGCTTAGTCCCACACTCTAACTTCAATGATGGGAACAACCTCCGCACTCCAATGAACAACAGTTCTCCGCCTTACTTTACTATATTTAGAATAGTGATCGATCCCTCGGGAGTTATATTCGTAACGACATCTTATGTTCACGGGGTGATATTCTATCTTTTCTAAAAGTTGAGTCGTCTGTGTTTGTTAAATTATTAGATCGTATTAATATGATGGTGCTTGTACGTTTTGTTTTTCTGATACATGTTCTAGTTATTTGAGTATAGAATTATTTTATGCACATTTTTTCATGGATGTATATCCCTTTGGTTTTCACCATCTATTTTTGCCGGAACTCTTCCCGAGTTTCCCTCTTAGGGGATGGGGAAAGCTTATCCCTCACTCACATTTGCCTAATCGCCTTTTTTTTTTTTTAACATTTTACGTTCTGGCACACAGAAATTTTGTACTGTGTGGTACTTTGGTACTTTATCGATTGCACTCTGATGCTTAAATTAGTAGTTAAGATGAGAGCAAATGGATATGGAACGAGGTAGAGTAACAGCAAGAATCTCAATAATAATCTTCTGGGGTGTGTGTCATATTTGCATAATGGTTCGCATATCGATGTTATGTACATCTTTTAGGGTTCTCCCATCGTTTATATATGGAGAGAATGAGAGAAAGAAGGCAACATGGAGGTATCAGAACTGCACCCACTTCCGCATCATTTTCCTACCATTTTACAATGGTGTGGTGGCGCTAGGGTAACTAGTCACCGACACCGTGCTAGACACTCCATTGGATGAGTTTGTGGGTACTTCTAAATGCATTTTTGCGTCAGTGCGATGCGCTCTAGTTTCCCTTTCTAGTGCACTCGACATGGTTCGGTGTGCTTAACATACTCCTTTTGCAGGTTAGTATAGTTCCACGCATCGACATCAGGGGGTTCCACGTGGCGCTCCAAACTTATCCTTCAATATAGACTTTAATTTGGTCTATCAACACGGTACGGTGTGCTCAGTATGCCCCCTCTGAAAGTAATTTCTATTGTGTTCTATAGGTTTTGAAGCCAACACTTTGGTTCTTGGGTTTAATCTTAATTTCTATTTGATTGAAACTTTTAGCTTGACGGTTGACTATTAAAAGATCTAATTATTATCATTAAAATATGAAACTATTAATAAAGTCTCAATTTTGTGGATCTAAAAATTAATTTCATGATTTGTAATGGTGAATTAAAATTTAAATACAATTAAGAGCATGTAATATAAAAGAACTCTTTTATGAATGGTACCATTTCTTAAAAAAAAAAGTAATATAAAAGAACCCACTTCTTAAATTCACTGCAATACTTGACCGACTTCTTCGATGAATCTTTTCGAACACAAAGTGCCTTTGTTTTATATACCACCACTTGACTCCCTTCCATGGTGGATGCACATTCTCCCTACCAATAAAATGCACTTTTCAACTACATATAAATCTCTCAGCTAAGATATCACACTAACATTACTAAAATGATTTAAAAAATACAATTAACTTGTTACATATACATCTTCTTTGCTTCCCTGTCCAAACAATCATCTCCTTGAATCAAGTACCACTTGTATCTTTCTCCAATAATAGTAATTCATTCATCTACTCTATACTACGAGAGCCTAATATGTAACTCTCGATTGAAAATGAGAGTCTGCCTTTATTCAGCAGGTCCAAAATAGAGTAGCTGCTACATGGAATCACATTGTGGGAACCTCTTCCTATCGAGAGATGCCAAATTGATAAGACTAACTTTTCTACCAATCTCCATGACTTGATAGATCAACATGTCTTGCTCACGTTCAATCATTTTTTTGTCATATTTGAGGTTGATTCACAAATCCACAGTGACTACAAGATTCTCCGATCATTTTTGTTTAGTCTTCGAAGATTTCTCCCGCACACATCTAGTTTTTAGATCATGACTGCGAAACATTTGTTAAGGACAACGATTCCTCTTAATATCTCCACAATGGTATGATATTATCCATTTTTTTGGCATAATGCTCATTGCTTTGCTTTTATTTTCACTTATAAAAACCTCATACCAATGGATATAATTGCCTTACCAATATATACCATTGGCACGAGGCCTTTTTGGTGAAATCAAAAGCAAAGTCATTAGGACTTATGCCCGTAGTGGAAAATATTGAACTATTGTAGAAATGTAAAGACTCCATGGTCCCCTCGCAAGTGGTTAAAGTTGTGCTCTTGATTTACTCGTGTCGGTAGAGTCCTTTAGTGCTAAACAAATAAGTGGTGAGCCTCAAAAGATGTACTCATAGTGTGATCCATGGTTGTGTCCTATGGAGAAGAGAGGAGTTAGCTTGAATAAGAGTTGAAACGGTGATGTTCAATAGTACTTTAATTTCTTCGAGGGGAGGATTTTTTAAAATGCAACAAAAGTCTCACGTTGATAGATCATTGGTATATAAGTGAGAGA